CCTCCTCTTTCACCTCTCTCCTCCAGGATCCAATCCAGTACCAAGCCCTGGTCCCAGGCCAGCCCTTGCAGTGCCACCTCCTCCCTGGGGCCCGCTCCCCCACCGAGCACCTGCCCTGGAATAGAGTCTCCATCCCCTCCAGGATGGAAGGGACAAAATATTCTTGGACACCCCAAATCTGTGCTTTGTCCTTGTGCGCAGACAGGGCCCGTCAGGCAGCGAGGGGAGGACTTCCTGAGGAGGAGACACGTCCCGCAGTGGCTAATGAGGGTGTGAGGAGGCTGCACAGGAACACTTCATGTTGTTGGTTTCATTTAACTCTCATTATGCAACTGCTGGCCCTTCACAAGAGAGAGAAAGGGGTCCAGTCCCCGTTCTGGAAGCGTTTCATAAAGTGTTGCAAGAGAAGGAGGGGTTGGTGCAGGGAAGGGGGGTCAAAGGGGAGCTGGGAAGGGAACAGGTTTCCAGGTTCCATGCTGTTTGCCTGTGTCATGGCACTGTTTGTCTTCACTGCTTTACCTTCTCTGGGCCCAACGACCTTGCCAAAAGGCACTCAAATGCCAGCTGTGTTCATTTTCCAGGACTACCCTACAAAGTGGTTAAAGCAGCAAGAAGTCTTCTCTCTCAACCCTAGAGAATAAACATGCAGGGCAAATGCTTTCAGGAAGAACCAGCCCCAGCCTCCTCCAGCAGAGTTCTTGGTGTCCTTGGCTTGTGGCAGCATTACGCCAATCCATTTTTCTGTCACTATATAGCCTTCTTCCCTCAGTATGTCTAGGTGTCTCCAGATGTAATCTGACCTCATCCTAACTCTTGCATCTGCTGATACTCTGTTTCCAATAAGGCCATATTGACAAGTCCTGGGGGCTCCTGCCTCAGCATGTCTTTGGGGAGGGAAACATAGTTAACCAACAGCACCAGCATTTTCAAGTGTTTTCCCTTGCTCCCTGGACATTTAGGGAATGAGTTTGGGAAACGTGTTTGCTTCTTTCCAGTACCTGCTGTGGACAACCAGGCTGTGTTTGGGTAGCGCTGCATTCACCGCCCTCCCATTGTTGCAAATATGATTTTCTTTCCTCCGCTTCTTAAAGCTGGTGGCTTGTTTTTTAATGTCCTTAAGAGAGTATTTCTGTTACCATGGAATATTCCACCTGCAGGAGATCAAATGCCATAGCCAACAGACTCCCCAGGGTTCTGGAAACGGAACAAGAAGCCAGCTTTTGGCAGAAAACGAAACACTGGAGAATCGTGGATGGTGCTAGACACTTCCTGGTTAAACACCGCAGGTGCTGGGTTCAGCAGCGGGGAAAGCAGATTTGATGGAAGTGAGCTGTGGTGATCTGCAGGGCACCGCGGGGGTCTCTTGCCTGTCTGCTCTGGACACTCTGGGACCCTGAGGAAACTGGCATCTGAAGTCACAAGAGGACAGGGAGGAGGCTGCAGCGAGAGGAAAGTAGTGGCATCCCAGCTCCGGGCGCGCTTGGAGCTCCCTAGAAGTGGAAAACATTGCGTATCCACAGGCGGCGTGGCCCGTGTGGGCGGCAGCCCTGTGGAGATTTTCCCTGTACTGTTTTTATTCTCCCCCTCCGGCAGATGTTCGTGTGGAAATCTGACCTTTCCTTCCTTGCGATCATCTCCCTGGAGTTAATTCCTCTTCTGAAGTCTTTTATGTAATGTTTTCTGGTGACCTTGACTCCAAGCTAAGTGTGGTACATCACAGATGGGGAAATTATGTGGACTTTTGCGGTGTAGTTTGGACAGAAGAAAAGGCAGCCCTGGTGGTTGGAGCCCTTGACATGCAAGTGGTCCCTTTGTGAAGCTCAGAGGAAGTGGAGTTTGCCTTCTTCCATCTTTCTTGACCACCAACGGCAGATTTGATTCTTTCAGATATACAGTAACACAGATGCCTGGAGGAGCCACCAAGTCTGAGTCTCTTCTTGAATATCATTTCCCAGTGCTACGCCAAGGCTTTACCATAGCTTTGGGTCCTGAGACCTGTTGTTAGAATCATAGTCACACTACTCCAAGTTGCTAGTGTGGGAAACTGGAGAGTCCAGGCTCCCCACTTGTTGGCCCGACCTTCCCTGGCTGGGGCCTGCAGTCCCCCCAGATGCAGAAGTGTTTTGGAAGCCTGGAAGATGTGTTCCCGGCTCTCCTTCTCAAGCCTGTCACAGAGCAGCTTGCTGCGCAGGTCCCTGAGTCGGATTCTTTCTCCAGCCCCGGCAGAGCAGGAGTCCCTGCAAGGGCTGGAGCCAAGGAGGGAAGGGAAAGACTTTCTCTCCTTCCTGTCCTCTCCCGTCTCTTGAGACTAGCTGACCAGAGAAGAACCTGCCCTCTGGGAGTTGTTGGGCAACCGTCCACGTTCGCAGTGGCTGTGCCGTGCAGTAGCATGTTTTTCGGAACAAGTTGCGTGTTGGCAGCCTCTCCCCTCACCCGGAGAGCATGTCCAGCATGGTGCAGCCCCTTCCCTGGCGGGCACCTGTGCTCAAACTGTTGGCAAGAAGACTTGGGGGCACTTGCGCTACTGTTCTTCTGTGAAAAGCGTCCAGACAAATGTGTGTGGGGAAGGAAGGGCACATCAGCACTACAGAGTGAAGGCTGTGCGGTGGTGCGGGCTGGCGGGCTTGTCAAGGCGCTCTTTCCTCCGGGTGGCAGGAGACGCTGAGGGTGAAGGACGGGAATGGGTGGCTCCAGGCTCGGCTCCTGGCTGGCTGGGGTCGGGGAGTGGCGAACCTCTGCCGAGCATCTGGAAAGGGGCCCGACTGAGCAGAAGCGGGTGAATCGGAGCCTCCGTGGCGCCAGTAACTCTGTCATTGATGGTGCTGTGATCCTTCACCCTTGAAGTGACCCGCAGGCCAGGCTGGAACGCCGCCATGGGGCAGCTTAGAGAAGGCAGGCTGTTGGTATCTAGGACGTCCAGGGGTACCGCTAAGCCCCCAGGAGCAGATCTTCCTGGCAGGTTGGAGAAGAGCAGTACTGGTGGTACAGAGCCCAAGGCGGCATGCCTGGTGTGCCGTACCTGCTGGAGCATCCGTTACAAGCTTGGGAGCTGGCACGTAACCCGCACATAGGAGCACCGGCCATCGCTGTGCTTGCTTTGGTGAATGTGCACACACACTACTGTGGTGCAGGCTCTGTCGCTGGGCCCCATGCTGAGAGCCCGAGGAACTTGGCTGGGGTACGCAGGTGCCGTCCTGAAATGCTGACCTCCAGCCCTCCGGGCCTGCTCAGCCCACTCGGACACGCTGCTCTGCCCTTGCCGCAGTGACCAGGTGTGTGGTCTGTGGTATCTGATGAGAAACCTCTCCCTTCGGTGGCACCGTGTCCTACCGTTGCAGATGGGCGTGCCCGTGGACCTTCAGCTGCCAGGAAGACCTTTGCGACTTCACAGCTGGGTATTTAGCACAGAGATCTGGAGAGCTCTGAACCCAAGGACTTGCCGAAGAAGCTGGTCCGCGGACAGGACACTTCCTACTTCCTGAGTGGGCACACCACGGTGTGCCAGGCGCTGTTCCAAGGGTTCTCCCAGTGTGGACCTCAACATTCCAATAAGACGGCTGCTAATTTTATCCCATGCTTTAGATGAGGAAACGAGGCTCAGAATGAGTTTCTGCGAGCTCCCCGAGGTCGAACAAAGGTGCCAACACTGGTGTTAGACTCTGGGAGCGTTGCTGCCAGCCTGTTAGCCATGAATCCTCGGATGCTGCTCTGCAGCCTGCCTGCATTTCGGTGACATCTAATCGACGGTTATGGAGGAGCCGGGGGTGACCCTTGGACCTGACCCCTGAAGAGGAGGCGGGCATGTGGCTAGCAGCATGATCACACCTGGAGTAAGCGGGGGATGGGAGGAGCAGCACCGAAGACAGCAGGGAATTCAGCCAAGGGGCAGGAAAAGCTCCCTGGACCAGTGACTTCCTCAGTGAGGTTTTGAAGAACCAGTAGGAGTTTACGAAGTGTTCCAAGGCAGAGCATTCCCAGGCATAGGGACAACACAGGTCTAAAGGAGCAGGGTTTTGAAAAGGTGGGAAACCGAGAGAACGTTGGCAGGGTGGCTGGAAAGGCCTAGAGGTACTTCCTGCTGCAGACCCTGGAAAGGCAGCCCCAGAGGCAGAGACTCTGTCTGTGATGCTACGGAGTCAGACTTTCTCTCAGGACTGGAGGCAATTTCATACTAGTTTTAATACAAGGTTAAAATCCCCAAATCCTGATGCATTCAGTAGTAATATTTCCCTTGGAGTTATGATTATGATTATTGAAGGAAATTACTACAAAAGTAATTAAGGTCCATGTATGATATATACTGACTTTGTGCTTAAAAAGAATGCTTTCAAAATCTCTTCCACTCATTTCAGTGTTTGTTTGTTTTTTTCTCTGAAGCTGGGATAAGTACATATTGGAGGGTTTTTGTGTGTTTTTTTAAAGTGGATTTTGATTGCATAAGAGCATCATGTAGAACTGTTTCCAGCAGTTTCTTATGGCAGGAATGGAAGCTAGGACTGATTATGTAATTGTTCCCTTCCATCTATTCTCAGAAACTAACATGTTGCCAGCATATTAAAAAAAGTCCTAATGATCATTATGGCATCTGAAACCTTCCCTGCTCACGGTCTGGTGCTATTGCATCGCACTGTTCACTGCAGAGTAGAAAGCAGTGGTTTAAGCGTGGCGTGACTGCTTGCCAGCGCTGGCAGCCCTGGGCTCGGCGCTGTCTGCTCCATCTTGCACGTGCAGCCAGCAGCCAGCACCTCTCCCGGGAGGAAGGGTGCGCGCCCCGCTGGGGCTGCGCGTGTTCCTATTTGGGTGAGGAGAGGCAGCATACTTCTGCTGCGCTGAGACTGTGTTTTGCAAGGAGAGCAGAAGACCATCTGTCGGAGAAGGTGGCGGGAGTATGCAAATAACTGCTGTGAATTCTGTGAATGCTTAAATGCTGTAGAAATTCTTTTTTTGAGTCTTTGCATTTAGTTTGTTTGTTGTTTGTCTGTTTGTTTTTTACTTTTTAGAATAGTCCTTATCAGTGGCAGAAGATCCTTCTGTAGTATATTTTCCGTGCTGCCGTATCGCGACAGTACCCAAGCCGGGTATGTATATGCATGCGTGCCTTGTGGGTCTCTGGGTGAAAAGTTCAGATGCCAGCCTGCACATGTGGTTTCCTTTTCCACGTTCATGAACTTGCTGGGCTTTGATGCTGCAAATTCAGTATTTGTGAATTTGAAAGAAAAAGTATTCTGCTTTCTTTTCAGCCAGAACAACTTTGTTGCTGGTGTATGCGTGTGTATGTGTGTGTATGTGTACATGTGTGTCCCACCACACTGTTTCTGCTCTGGGTGTGTCCTGCTGTGCTTTCCCATGCTATAAAGCAAGAACAGTCCAGGGCCCACCAATCCCCATAAGGTCATGATGACTTCAGGGAAAAGGTGGGTCAGAAAATGAACCAGACCAAACCCCGGGACCATCCTGTCTCCTTGCATCTTGGGCTTGGGTTTGGAATCTGATCAGCCAAGCTAGAGCTACCGCCCCGGACAGGGTGAATATCAAAGCCAAGTCATACCAGGATCACGCACAGATTTAGCTACAGGCCAGAGAAATGCTCCTCTCTCTCAATCAACCAGCCCCTCTTTCAACTCTGAAAAAAGCAAATGAGGTTTGTCCTGGCAAAGTCCCCTCTGCATCGCTATCTCTGCAGCTGTGTTCATTTCCTGTACTGCATCTAGACCCTGGCTGCCCTGCCCCACGTCATTGCACCCTGTTCTGGACACCAGGGTGGCGCCGGGACTTGGCAGGGCAGCTCCCTGCACAAGATGTCAGGGCATCATGGTCTTGGCTGTGGCCTGCAGACATGAAAAGCTGGAAATGCCCTCTGGTCGTTGTGGCAAATGCTGCAGACTGCTGCCCTGAGAAGGTGGCCCCTGCTGCTGCCTTGCCATATATTAATCTTGTACCACCTCCATGAGCTCCGCCTAGGCAGTGCTGCTGGGCTCATGGACCTGTTAGGTTTTTGGACTCTGAACTGTGAGCTCCACGGCCAGAAGGCAGCATCTTTATTCATGGAAGCCTGATAGTTGTATATCTTCCTGAACACTGATAATCATACTGTGTGTTGAGCACCTTCTTTATGCTGGTTCTTTTATCATCTGCATCCACATAACAGCCCCGAAAAAGAAGTCTTCCAGGAAAAGAAACTGCAAATCAGGAGCTCAGGGGCTTAAGAACCATCTAGGGGTGGCCTTTGGCTTGGCCTGGAGGACTTGCAGGAAACTTTCTTCACCTGGCCAACCTGCCATGCCCCTAGCTAGCTGCCCCTGAAGAGCAGGCCTCTTTCCTGGGGGAAGGACCTTGTAACAGCTCACTGACCTGAGGTGTGATCCCAGAAGTGCAGCTCATCATCTGCTTGCATGCAACGGCCTCAGGAGTACGAGCAGCCTGCAGGTGCCTTGCGGAGGGGATCTGTATCCCCAGTAAGCAGCTCTTTATCAGCACCTCCCCTCCCAGCCAGGGCTTGATGGATCTGTGGCGTCTTCAGCTCTCTGGCTTCCTTGATGCGCTTTCTGGTTGAAGCATTCTGTCCTTAACAGCATCCCATTCATTCATTCATTTTCAGTCCTTACCACAGACCAGATACTGGGGATACAGGGAGTGAAGGATAACCTGGTTCTTTTACTCCTGAACTTACAGCCTAGCACGGGAGACACATAAAATTACACATGATTAATTACAGCTTTTAAAAGATGCTAAAGGTACCCTGGCAGGCGGCTGCTGTGTCTTTTAAGACAATTCAGCTTCTCCATGATTCCATCTTTGAAGGGTTCATGTTGGGTTGGTTTTTAGAGAGGTGATCTAATGTCCATATTCTAGGTCCCTCTGGTGTGGCATCCAGTGCGTATGCTCATTTTATAGATCTTCAAGAGTTACAGTCTGAAGCATCAACTTCAGGCCAGAATGAGGATTTGAACGCATGTGTATCTGAGTGTTCCATGTCCCTGGCAGACAGGCCAGACAGGTTCTGTGTTTGGAGAACCTTTCCTAGGAAATGGGGCATTTCTGGAAGCTAGGGCTCACACAGCGCATGGACACAGGTCCCAGCCTGGTGCGGAGAGATGGGTATGGCCAGCTGGAGAGGGAGGAGTCAGAGTGGAGAACTTCAGAGACTCGGGGTTTTCCAGTTGGACAGATCCCATGGGAACTTGTTTGCTCCTCCATAGAATGGGGCAGGCAAACTGCACATCACGTCATTAATTTGAAGATGAAGGGATTTTCTGCAGAGCCAATTAGAACATGTTTGAATTGCGATTACCCAGGAAGAGCTCACTCCAGCCATCTCTCTTATGCATATTTGGGATCCATGTGGCTCTCCACATTTTTCTTTTCCCTGCCCTTTCTTTTCCTTCTCCTTCCTTTATTCCAGTACTGGGAATTGAATCTCAGGGTAAGCTATGCCCTTTATTATTTAATTTCAAGACAGGGTCTTGCTAAGTTTCTGAGCCTGGCATGAACTTGCTGTGTCCTCCTGCCTCAGCCTACCAGAGTGTTAGGATTACAAGCATGTACCATCATGTTTGGCTGGTTCTTCACATTTTTGAACATCTCAGGGAAATGCTAGCTGGTAGCCAGCTGGTGCTAGGAAAAGATGTGAGTCCATGTGTGGGTCTCCTGCTGCTGCTAGGAAGCCCCTACCTGTTGGAAAAGGCCCACCTCCTAGGACTTTGAGGTGATATGTCTGCTAGCCCTGGAAAAATGGATGGCAGTATCATGGATATAACCTTTGCTGTGGTTAGGGTTTGCAAGGGAAACAATTTAATATAGGACACATAATTTATAGGATTATTTTATAATAGTCATTTAAAGAGTCAAATACAGTAGAGTGCAGGAGATCTGTCCACACACTGAAAACCCAGAGAATCCAGGTGAGAGCTTGGATCCCATGGTAATGGCCTGTGTGAGTCTAGCTGAAGACCTGGAGCCCATGACAATGTCTCATGCAGGCCTGTTTCAAGGATCTTCACTGGGAAGGCCTAAAAGTCAGTGGTGGAGGCTAGAAAGTCTGTGCTAGCGAGATGAAGGATCTGTGTTAGCAGGCTGAGGGATCTGTACCGGAGTCAGGAAGTGACACTCAAAGTGAGGACCAGAGCTCACGGAAAAAGTACCACAGCGACCCTCAGCAACAGCGAGATCCTGAGCTCTTCTGATGATGGGATCAGCCAAGTTCACATCAGGAAAGCTAGAGAGACGAGCTTCTCCAGGAGGACCAACAGCACCACCTCTTCCCCTCCAGTTCTCTTTTTATGCTATTGGCAACAATACTCAGGCAAGCCCTCCACACCCAGAACCACGCTGACTCAGTTCAGCTGGGTGTTACAAGCTGACCTCCAGTTGTCAGTCCACCATGACCTTTCACATCTTGGAGGGGGACACATTAAAACCCACAACTCCTGCAAGCTTTCAAGATGAGGAAAGCAAGGTGCAGAAAGATGAATTCTGTAACACAAAATACACGTTCTTTGTCGTACCTGTGACAAAGACAAGATTCTCTGAGAGGAATGTTCCTGTCTCTGTGGTTCATTCTGTCTCGGCACATAAGAAGCTCTGAGCACAATTCTAAACGTCTTTTCGCAGCTAGATGAGGAGGGATTCTTCTCTTAACTTAGCCTGTTGATAAATAATAGCCCATTTACTATGATTAAGATCCTTTTTTACTAATTAAGGGAAAATAACCACGCTCAAATAATTAAAAATATATCAGTAAAAATGCTTTTAAAAATGCTAGTTGATACAATAACAAATACATGTAAATTCCAAGCTACTTTAGTTTGCATACAAGTTAACTAGTGAGTATCGACTGTGGAAAATTCCTTTGGCCCTGGCGCTCCTTGTGCCTTGGACACTCATCAGAGCTCCAGGCCAGAGCGTCAGAGGTCATGACTTGGTCCTTTCTGCTTGCAGCTGAGGCACAGGGGGCCAGCAGCACTGGAACTCGGAGCTCCGCGGCTTCTAGCGCCCCTATCTCGTTATGCTTGTGCACGTGGAGCAGGCCACGTGAGCCTGTCATCCCAGACAGGCACAACCCCCAGTGCAGGGGACGATGGACAGTTCCAGCCTCCTCATGAGAAAGTCGTGAAAACAGGAAACGCAGAAGTTCCTCCGCCTTCGTCCTGGAGGCATGGCCCAGGGTTCCCTGACTGTCCCAGGTTGTTTTCCATCTCCTCTTGCTGCATGGCCCCTTCCTGACTCTGCCTCCCAGCTCTTTGCTCGCCCTGCCTCACTTCCCACTGCAACCCCGAAGCTTTGTTCTTAGTTTGAACCTGAAGTAAACACTGACTGTGGCGGCTGACATCCACTGGCCAAAGCAGACCAGTCACAGGGCAGGTTTTACCATCTGTCCCTTCATTCGTTTGTGCATTTAGACCACGTGTTCTGCCCCAGTGAGCAGAACTGGTTGGAGACTGGTTAAGGGGACACTGGGGACAGGGATGAGTTCCCCGTCTGAAATAGCTGGGGGTCCCAAGGAAGCCCTGGAGAACACTTTAACTGCCGCCACATCTTCATCCGGAAAGTGTGTTGCTGCATGAAATCCCTTCCCCCGGCCCACCTGCCTGAGTGGCGACCACCCCTTCGCGCTGACGGCACCAGTGGCGCTGCACTCGGGGCCTGCTGAGCACCCGCCGTGCGCCAGGGCCTGTCCGAGGCAGGAGGGCTGCAGCAGTGAACAAGAACACACCTCTCTCCTCACAGAGCCTAGGCAGAAATAAGCTGTAGGTAAAGGAACCACCCGCTAACACAGCACCCGACTGGAGGGAGTCCGGAGCAGTGTGTGGTTGGAGCACGGAAGGAGCAGGAAATGCCCCGCAGAGCAGGCAGCTCTCCCATCAGACTCGGGTGGAGAACAGCATTTGCAGACCCGGTGCTGCCTTTGGAGGGTCAGGGGTTGACCCAGCTGCTTGTGAGTCCCTGGGCACATCCGGCCACGCCCTCCACGTTGAAAGAATTCAGTAGCTGGAATCCTGTATCTGACTGGGGGCGCAGGGTCCGGCCCTGTGTGGTGGGAGGAGGGACACTCAGACGGGAAGAACCAGCTGCCTGGGGAGGGGTCCTGGGATGTTTCCCATACACGCTGGGCCTCGGTCCGTCCCCTGCTCAGAGTTTGTCTTCACTCTCGTCAGCGCGGCCGGTGGACAAGCGGTAAGTCCATAAAGGAGAGATACTGTTCCACTCCCCACTTGGCAGCAGGCACACTTCTAGAGCTCGGGCCTGAGCCGTGCGTTAACCTGCATCAGCTTTTCAAAACTTGCAGTCTTAAAAAACCTGTAGCTCTGGTGCCTTTCTGCAGTGTTATTTGGTATAAATTTCCATCTGGGCCCTGGCATGGGGGCTAATCAACCTGGGCTCCAGAGCCGCGTGAAATGCTTGGGGTCAGTTTGCAAACTACCGTGTTTATACCAAGCTGATGTGAGGATCATTTCCAATGTGAACTCTGGAGCCTCTGCAAGAGGTGGGCAGTCTTGGTCACTTGACAGCAGCCCCCAAGTTCAAACACTACTTCCCAGCCTGGATTTATAAGGAAGGCTATTTGAGAGAGGAGCGTGTTTCCTTGGGATTTGTCATCCTTGGGATCCTTTTCCTTGGGAGCATGTTGTCAAACATCCCTGTGAACCCTAAGTGGCCCTTGCAGTGTACTGGCCGCTCAGTGTGTCTCCCCAGCACCTCGTAAGGTCGGTGCTCGCGGTACCGTGTTGCAGGAGGAGGCCGCAGTGGAGGGGCAGCTCAGGCTGCAGAGGCCATCCCAAAGCACTCCAAGCACTTGAGCGCCCAGTGTGTTTCCCTCCCTGCACCAGCGCCCTTTGGGGCCGGGCTTGCGGGCTCAGGACCAAGGGCACATGGGAACGCCGGCCAGTATGCGTGTGTCTGTATGATGGCGGAGCTCACAGGTCAGGACCAGCCTGACTCCTGTATTTACATGTGGACACGAGGGCAGTCTCCTGGGGACCCCAGCGGCCAAAGTGCTGGGTGTTGGCCTTTGGAAGACTTTGGAGATTGCTAGTTTACAGTGCGGCACTGGATCCTCCAAGGCAGAGCCCTGGCAGCCCTGGTGGCACCTGGAGAGAAGAATACTCTGTGTAAGTCCCCCTGTGGGTGTCCGTCTTCTCTAGACCAGGGAGGTGTGTGAAGGTGGCTGGTATCTGGGTGGCACTGACCGGCGGGTGGCTGCAGAGGAGTGTTGCTGGCCGTGACACCGAAGTGCCCATTTTCCTAGCTGCTGCACATGGTGGTGCCTTCCCAACGCTACGAGGCAGTGACTTAGGGGACCCTAAAGAAGGGCCTTCCCCAGGGCTTGAGTGGATGCCTGAACAAAGGTTGCTCGTTAAGCAAGAGTACCTAACATTCCAGAAAGGGTCCCTGTGCAGTGTCAGAGGTGCCTTCACGCAAAGGAGCATGATGGGGCTCTTAAAACACTGAAAACGGCTCCCAAGGCGTTGCTTGAGTTACAGTCCCTTATGTACTTGTAATATCTGAGGAATCATCTCAGATAATGAGATGCTTCCGATAACTGCCATTTATTGCAATTTGTTGCTTTAGAAATTCAAATCACTTGTAGTGTGAGCCCCTGGGCCCCCCAGAGTGGCGCTGAGGGACACAGGTGTGGGGCACATGTGTGCGCTGGGTTGCAGACAACAGAATCCTCTGCACGTGAGGTTGGGGCTGAGTTTTTCAGCAGCCTTAGGAAAGATGGAGACCAGCGAAGACGCCCAGGGACACCCCGGCGCTGGCAGTGCAGCCAGGGCCAGTGCAGCGCCACCCCTGGTGCTTCTCCCGTGGCAGCCGTTGCGTGTGGGGTCCCCACCCTGGGTTGCCAGCAGTTCTGATCCCCCCACCGTGTGACGCACATCCTCCTCCAGGTTCCACGTGAGCACTGCCGCTTAGCAGAACCTAGGCCACCTCCTGGGAGTTCGGGAAATGTCTTTCTTGGCCTTCCTGCGTGTCGTGAGCCAGGCTGTCCCCTGCCACAGTGGTTCACAACTGTCCCCACGCTGAACCTGGGGAGGCCACTGAGGAACTCCAGCCTCAGGAGCCTGACGACCCGGTCCCCAGAGAGAGCTCTTGGGGCAGAGAGGGCCCCCAAGATGCCTCCCCCTGTAGTCACACGCCCTTAAAGGCCACAGGAGTTTCCAATCAGAGTCTGCAGGTCCCCACCTAGGGTCCTGCCGAGCTCAGCGGTAAGCAGTGCCAGCTGTTGTGCAGCCCGGGGCTCGAGATAGTGCCCGAGAGGAGAGCGGCCGCCTCCTGCCTCCCGTCCCCGTTCCATGTGGTGCTGGCTCCTCGCCCAGTTGGTCCTGTGAGGGGAAAATGGGACTAAAATCAAACTCGAGGAGCCCCTGTGCCCTTGTGTCTCTGCTCTAGTCTGTCGTCCTTTTGCTCACTGCAGGCTTTGGCCCCTGCCCCGCCTCCCTCCTGGTCCCAGGCTTCCTGACCCAGAGGCAGAGCCCGGAGGCTGCACCTCTGTTCTCCCCTTCAGCCCCAGCCAGAAGCCTGCGCTGACTTGCCGAGGACACCTTGCCTGGGGCTGTTCTCCCCTGTGCAGAGTTTAGAAGCTGATCTGTCCTGTCCCCTTCCCCGTCCCAGCCTCGTAGGGACTAAATCTGGCCTCTGCTCCAGGCGGCTTCCACACAAATCCCTCCCGGCCCTCCCAGCACCGCATCCAAGGGCCGCCAGAGCCCCTGCCTGTGGTGTCTTTGCTGAGGCTGTCACAGCTTGGTCATCTTCACAACTTGCGGGTGCAAACCGTGTCTTGGTGTGACTGTGTCACTCGCAGGCACCCCGCTTGCCTCTCTTGAATGAATGAGTAGAGTGTCTCTGCAGGCTCTCTCTGGGCTGTTAAGAATGGCTCGTTTGCTGGGAAAGCAAACGCTGTATGTCTCATTGTCCCAACGAGGGACAGCTGGACAGCATCCTACGCAGGAGCACGTGCTCGCTGGAGCCAGGCCCTCAGTCCTGTGAGCCGATCGGGGAAGTGACAGAGTGGGGACTGAGGCCTAGAAGGAGCGAACAAGGAATCTGACATGGGCCACAGGGTCCTGCTTCCTTCTCTCCAAGTGGCGCATTCACATCCACAGTGAAAGTTGCTAAGCCTAAAGTGATAAAAGAAGGCCTCGAGCCACCCCGGATCCAAGCACTAAGCCCCAGTGCGGTCTCCTAGCCAGGTGACTCCCTCACTGCACACACGGCTGTCGTTCGACCTCTCTGGCCTGCTGTGCTTTTTCATGTTGCTCACATACCCTTGTGTCTGAAGATGAAACCCGAGTTCCCTGGGCTTTGCTGAGGCCGCACCTTGCTTCTGCTGTCTTTGCCCTACGGATGTCCACTGGCTTTCAGCGGAGCTCCTCGCTGGATTCTCTGTCAGATCAGGTTGTCTGAACCTCTCCAAACCAGTACCAGTGATGACAGTAAATGACACACAGCCCCACTGCGAGCAGATCACATGACTTTCCTTTCACTTCTGTCTAAAGCAGGGGGCGTGTTTGAGTGATCTGGTGTAGTAGGGGGGCGGGTTTCCCAGGCTCGGTACAGTGGTGAGCCTCATCCTAACCTGGAGCCTCACCCCTGCCTTGGTCCTCACTGCTACCCGCCTACATTCACAGTCTGGCCCTCATTGCCTGCCCTCTGTGGAGCCCAGCAGGATCAGGCTGGTCAGGTGCAGGTGCCAGGACTCATGGGCACCCTTGGGCCGGAGACCGGCCACAGGGATGGCCACTGCATTCAGGCTGCACAGCCGAGAACCTGTGGTATCACTGATCATGACCAGGCAAATAGCACCTCGACACACACCTAAAGGCTGCACTTGTGTAGCAAACACGCTTCCCAGACCATAGAAGTCCTTCCTGGACATCAGAGCGGCCACTCCCCCCTGGGGTGTCCCCCGAGCGCCCGCATTCGAGGCTGTTTGAAGTGGAAGACAGTCGAGGTCCCAGTCCAGTTCCAGTAAGTGCAATGATCAGGAGCTCTGTTCAGCTCAGAGGCTTTTAGAGCTATGGAAAGGACTTGGAGACTGCCTAGTCCTGTAGTTTTTACTTGTAAAATTTTTTTTAAGCTGCAGAAATTTCTCCCATCACAAGTTTACACAAAACTCCAAGCAGCTAGCCACAGAGCTGCTCTGGAGAATCGGGAATGGGGACAAAAGGCCCACTGCTCCAGGAAAACCACAGTCCTTATCCGTCCTTGCCAGGGGGCATCTGAAGCCCATGGGACGGAGCTGGCGGCCAGGCAGCGCCCCATTCAGGACCAGGTAACCAGCCTTGCTGACCCCAGGTGTACTCACCCATGAACTGGCTGTAAAATGGGCCTCGGAGAGCCCTGGGAGTTCCGAGGACCACTCTTGAGCACCTGCCAGGCTGCCATGGATACCTGCAACGCATCAGTGTCTGATCCTTCTTTGTCCAATCACAGGGCAGTTTTGCTGCTCTCTCTGCCTCTGCTTCAGCCTGGTTCCTAAACAGAGAACCAGCACTGTGGTCCCACAAACACAATGGGTCCCTCTTCAGATTTGCAAAGCAAATTTGGAAAGTACGCAAACAGAAAAGAAAGATGAAAATTACTGAGCCTCCCCTCCTAAACAAAGCCGTGAGGCGTGAGCATTTCCAAGTCTGCCCCCCCACCGGTGCGGCACTGAAGATGAAGACTGTTTTGTTCCTCTGGCCGGAGCCCACCTTGCCTAACACGCCGGTGGGTGCCGTGGTGGGGAAAGGGAGCAGATGTGGCCTGTCTTTTCCACCCTAACTAACAACAAACCTTCCCTCTGCTATAAACACTCCTCTCGGAGGAGGCTTGTAAATTGAACCATTTTCTGGAAGAGCCCCAGTCTAAAACCAGCACCTCTTTCCTCAGCTAACAGCTGCCAAGGCCAGCCCGAGTCTTCCTGCCTTTGATCTGCATTAGTCATTGCCGTCTCTGTTCCAGTATGGGTCTGCGGTTTGGCGTGGCGACCCTCAGCGCCTAAAATGACTTGCAGGCAGCTTTCTTGGCACCTTTCCTCTTGGTAAACAGCTCGCCCAGCACCTCTGAGCAGGGCCGCTCTGCCCTGTGCCCGCCAGCCTCCACCCCAACCTCCCGGCCGCTCTGCCCCCACGGTGGGAGCAGGAATGCAAAGTCTCGGGGAGCTGCTGAGCAGTGTTTAGATGGGTTTAGATGTAGAAAAAGAAGAAACGGTGGATAAGGGGAGTAGCTTAGGAGAAAAGATCTTAGAGTCCAGAGGAGGAAAAGCCTGAGGGAAGAAGGTAGATTGAAGCAAACCTGACCTTTAAATTGTTGTTGAGGCTCAGTCTGGACCCAGGAAACGGAGAGGAAGCCCAAGACTTGAAAAGGCCTACGCTTCACGTATCCTTAGCGTTGGGCTTTGTTTTCTCCTGGGCGGACTTGAACACGTCAGGCTCGGGTTACACTATCAGTGAGAAGAATGGCTTTGAGGAGGAATTAGATGTGGAAAATGTGATTTTAGAGCTGGTCCCAGTTACAGGGGAACCTAACAAAGAACAGCTAACAACCAAGGATCCCCTCACACACAGATGTTAGACACACGGTATCACACCTGAGGAGCCGGGGAGGAAGCAGACATTCAGTTTTCCTAAGTGAGCGCACAGTCCGCAGCCTGCCCGGAAGCAGTGGCCTTGCCTCTGTTAAACAGATTCTCAGGACGCTTGGTGGAACTGGTGCCACCAATTTAATTCAAGTACTGATGGCCAGAGACCGGGCTCATTCGAGGCTGTAGGCACACACAACCCTGAAGAACAATACGGTATTCCTGAAATAGCAAAGGAGGCCAGATCAAAGCGAAGGCCCAGGAAATGCAGAGAAGTGATGGAGAGAGAAAGGCTTCCGAAAAGTTGGAAATGAGGGAGACAGGAGGGGACTAACACGAGGTCATCCCAGGAGTCCGTGCTGTTGGGCAAGAATTGTTGCGAGAGCCATTCGGCCCAAGCTGTGAAGTCACCCTCCTCCCTGCTTCTGTGGAGGCCTGCTTGCTGCAGGCTTCCAGGGGCAGGTGCTGTGTGCTCCACGCAGACCTCTCTCTGCAGAGGGAACGCTGTGTCAACCTGCAGATCCGTGCAGGCCCTGCCTGGCTCCCTGGCACTCCCAGGAGGGTGACTTCTCTCTTCCTGTGATGGCCTGTACTCTCCATCCCCAGGACTAGAAGATCATGTGCTCGGGGTGTGCTAATGGGAATACAGAGATGATAAATGAGGAACTGTAAGGTAAGAGAAAAGGCAGCACACTTTGGAGACCAGAATATGTCACTCAAAATACACCCCCTTAAACAGCGTCGTCATTTTGATCTGAAGGCAGCTGGGTAGAAGCCAACAAAGAAATGCTTTCTGCCTTTCCACTGTTAGCCAGAAAAGCAGGACATTAATATACACAAGCCCCCATCTCTGTGAGGACAAATGGTAGTACATAAATAAATTAACATGCGTCTGAGTCATTGCAGGAGACTGTGCCCTAACATCTTCGGCATCTCCCGATGCCCTGAGTCAGATGTGCTACTTAGCTAATAGAAAACGGTTTTGGTTTTGCTTTAAGTAATAGAGCTTTGGAGCAGTGTTAGGTTTGCAGAAAGCGCAGAGTGGCCGTGTACTCTTCTAGCTGCTTCTGTCACTAACATCTCACTTTGGAATTGCACATTCGTTAGGATGGATGAATCGTTATTGATACATTGTTACCTAAGGTCTGCAGTATCTATCTCTTTCATTCTTTGTGTTGGACATCTATGAGTTTTGTTGTTGCTGGTTGTTTCCTGGTACTGGGGAATGAACCTAGGAGCTCTGTACCACTGAGCCACATCAAGTCCTATTTGTTTGTTTGTTTTTGAGACAGGGTTTTAGTATGCACTTCAGGCTGGCCTTAAACTCACAGCAATCCTCCTGCCTCAGCCTCCCAAGTGCTGGGATTACAGACATGGGCAATCATACCTGGCCTTTTTGTTTGTTTTTATTTTGAGACAGTGTTTCACTAAGTTGCCCAGGCTGGCTTTGAACCTGTGGTCCTTCTGCCTTAGCTTTCCATCAGCTAGGATTATAGGCATGTGCCTTGTGCCTTGTGCCTAGCATGCCTAGCCTTTCTATGGGTTTTGACTGTTGTTTGATTACATGCATCCAATACAGTACCTTACACAGCATGGTTCACTTCCTGAAGCTCCTTGGTGCTCCATCTGTTCCTCCCTCCCCTAACCCCCTGAGAACCACAGATCTTTTTGCTGCCTCTGTGTCTTTGCCCTTTCTAGAAAACTATACATTTTGAATCACACAACGTGTAGCTTTTCAAGCTCTGACCCTCAAATAATGCATTTAAGATTGTTTTGCTGCTTTTCTTGTTTATCTCTTAAAGACAGGGTCTCACTAGGTAGCCCAGGGTGGCTTTGAATTTACGATCCTCCTGCCTCAGCCTCCCAAGTACTGGGATTATAGACGTGCACCAATACTACTGGCAAGATTTGTCTTTTCATACATCAGTCTTTTTAATGCTGAATAATATTGCCTTGTCAGGAGCTAGCAGTTTATGTATTTACCCCTCTACTGAAAGACACTCTTGGTTGCTTTCATGTTTTGGCGATTATAAGGAAAGCTGCTAAAAACCAAGCAAGTGGAAAAGAGAGAGAGAACTGGTTTCCTGCTGTTTGTGTACCCTCTGACCGCTCTTAAGGTCAGAGCTCTTGCTTGCACTCTGGGGCCAGTTCAGCTGCATGACAGGCTGGCAGGGCGTTGTGTGGGCTGATGTCCATTTGTGACACAGCCTCAGATGAGGACTGCATTCCAGCATCCCGGCCGCCAGCCCAGAAACTTCTGGAGCGCAACCCACTGGTGAGCGAGAGACGGCAGGCACTGTGTTGAGGGCTTGTCCCAGGGTTGTCCCTGTGCCTAAGGGAAGCGACCAGTGTCCAAGTGACCTTTATTTCCTAAGACATGTAGACAGCAGTATCTCTGGATCAGTGGAGCTGACCAGAAGGAAGTAAAAAGTGATCCCAGCAAACTTGCAGTTGGTGGTCGTGGGAAAAGAGCTAACTAGATGCTTGCAGGTGGGTGTCTCCCTGGGGTGTGTGCGCAATGCAGGCCTCTTCGGATGACTGTCCCTGAGGAGGAGGTAGCGCTGGCTCATTCCCTATAGGTGCACCAGAGACCGTGTGCGCACGCAGCCTCCCGGTGGAGTGCAGCGTGTCTCTGGAGGTGTGTTTTCCAGTCATCAACAGCTTCCGCACGGCGTTTTGTGTCCTTAGCTTTTGGCATTCGAGGCATTCGGATGAGGTCACCCACTTGGGCCCATTTCCTGAGTGCTGATCTTTTTGTGACAGAGAGACCAGCTTCTTCTATTCTTAGAGCCTCCGAGCCTGGATGCTGCCTGCCAGCTCCAGGCCCAGCCCCCGAGCCCCCTTCCTCCCACCTGCTTTGCCCAGAAAGTTCTCTTTTCGTTGTGGAAAATTACACATTCACAAACTGCATTTCTTTCTTCACACCAAGCATATTCTCACACAGAGGCTGATTCTGGAATGACCTCATGCGTGAATCATGCCATTATCCAGCTGTTTATAAGAGCTGCCTTTAGACACAGATTTTGGTGTAAGCTACATTAAGACTTCATCATTGTGTGCGAGTTGCCGTGTGGGGACGGCTTATCCATGAAGTGCTGAGAGTGAGGAGGCGGGACTTCTAGGCCAAAGTCCTGCTTTTGATTTCACTTTTCTCCTGTCAGCTGTGGGCCTTATTCACCGACTCTGAGCTTCTGAAGTGTAGCAGCTCTGCAGTGGAACATGCACGCCAGCCTCATCCAAGATGGCAGCTGCTGTGTCGGAAGGGGCCGTGTGTTGGTCAGCATTCTGTTACTGAGTGCGAGAGACAGTCATTTTAAAAAAGAGAAAAGGGTATTTTGGCTCACTGTTTTAGGAACGTTAGTCCAGTCTGTTGGTCCTATTGCTTTTGGGCCTGGTGAGGCAGTGTATCACAGCAGGAGCACAGGGCAGAGCAAATTCTACCTCATGGCTGGGACTCAAAAAGGAAGAGAACGGGCCTGGGGTCCCAACATCCCCTTTGCAGACACACCCCTTGACCTAAGACTTCCCAGGAGGTCCCACCTCCTAAGCACTCCTCCACTAGTGCCTCAGGCTAGAGACCAAACCTTTAGTATGGATCTGGAAGGCTATGTTTTAAAGGTTTAGATCCATACTAAAGCAGGCAGGAAGTAAGTGTTCTTCAGCTAAGATAAATACTGCGTCATGGGGTTCCAGTGGGTGTGATCTCTTAATTAAAATTAGTTCACAAGTGGTCTTTCCTTTCTGAGTCCAGCTTTCAAGCTTTGCTTTCTGTGTAGCAAATCTCTCTTTCTTCCTTTTGAAGGGTCTAGAAATCCTGTTAATATTTCATTAGCTCCTAAATTATTTATGCATCAAAGTGTTTGAGCTATTGTTGTCCTTTAAAAGAGCAAGTGCCCAGTGGCGGTCCTGGCTGGTGTTCCAAGGGCTCGAGCTTAGGGCGCCGCTAAAGAAATGGTCATGGTTAGAAGTCAGGGCAGCCTTGTCTTGGAAGCAGAAAGCCGTGGGAACATAGTTAATTGGATCACACACTTTTTCCATCTCCTTCCTAGGTGTAAAGTATTAGATCATGTTTTCCAAAGTGTAATATCGGTTCATTAACCACACTCCCTAAGGAAGGAGCCGTAGCTCCAACGTCTTGCTCTCTAACAGGGAATCCTGTTTTCCCATCAAGATCAATTCTGTGCGTTAGGCCTCAGTGAGCAGCCGGCTGGGCCCTTGCCAGTGAGCCAAAGAAGGAGGAAAGAAAGATTATTTTGCCTTTTACAAAAGATGAAATCAAGAACTGGCCATCTGATAGTTGATCATGACCTTGGCAATCCCCTTTGAGCCCCAAGATGTCTCGATTGTCCATCTGCTTTGATCAGATAACTCCATGGTGGTGAACCACATGTGTTTGCTTTATGCTGTGGAAGCCAAGACGAAGACAGCTCCAGGGGATTCCTACCAGGAAGCTGCAGACTTTCAGAGAGAGCCACATTAAATGAATCGTGCAGTCCTGAGAAGGAAGCCACACCCCCAACAGAAGCAACCTGTTGTTTTCCTTGCTTAAGGGTATGACTGCTGCATGGCTCTCTCCCCAAATGTACTTTCATCTCCTGTTTTAACCCCTGCTCCCACACCCACCTTCCTGGGCTCCTCCTCCCCAGATCCCCTCCAACCACTCCCATGCCTGCATTGGCCAGTTTCAAACATCGGGCTTTGTAAAAAAGAAAAGAGCCTTGTTCACGGTTTCCAAAATGAACTTGTCAGCTACAGCCTCTGCGGGAGCTAGCAGACTTGCATAGCATGAGCCGGGCATGGTGTTGCACACCTGTAATCCCAAAACCTGGGAAGCTGAGGCAGGAGGATCACTGTGAGTGTGTTCAAGGCCAGGCTGTACTGCCTAGTAAGACCCTGTCTCAACAAAACAAATAAATGGAAAAAAAAAATTGCCAAGAACAAAAAATGAACTCTCATAGGGAAATAACTCTAAATCGCAGCGTCACCCAGAACTGTGGGAGACGGGGCCAGAGCACAGTTTTGGACATGCCTCTTCCATTTTTAAAAGGAGACAGACTATAAATAAATTAATATTTGAACTCTCCATGTATCTGGGAAAAAGTAAGTCTCCAGACTTTTAAAAAAGTTGAAAAGTCCAACTTCAATTCAATTTTAATGGCTTTCCGCTGAGGCTCCGCATTCTCCAGCTCTGCCTCCTGGTACTGGACGGTTAATTCTGGCATGTGAGCCGGCAGATATTTTTATTTCCATAGCCATTTTATGAGAATTCAGAACAATGATCTTAGAAAGAAAACATCAAGATTTTATCTCCATTCCGCTGGGACTGCTGCTTGATTCTTTCTCAGTGGAGTTTGTAGAAGATTTTTTCTGGGTGAATCAGCGCCACTTTGAGTTCCCTTCTGCGGGTCCCTCCAACCCTCCCGCTTCTGAGACCGTGGGACCCCAAAAGGCACGGTTCTTTGGGATCCTCTGCACTCACACAAGACCTGAGCAGATACCTGTAATATTTGGGGGCCACAATATAAAAGTGCTCTTATTATATAGGTCAGATAAGGTCCCAAAAGGGCAATTTTGTATGGTTTGTATTAATGTCAGGTTTCAGTGACATTTATCAGAGCACCTAGCTAAGAAAAATCAACTCAGAAACTGTTCAGCCTCTTTATGAAAGATGTATTGCTCAGACCCTTAGCTGTGGAAAAACTGGCACCATTAGAAGTGGCTTAAGCAGGTCCTGTTGCGTCTTCTGTGAACTGACTAGGCGTGTGCGTACCTGTGTGGACGTGTGGACTTGTAATCCATACCCGCCCAAGGGCAGCCTGAAGTCAGTGACAACTTCCCCCTGAATCTGAGGGGGAAAGTGTACAGAAACGTGTCCTCTGTCATCACAAAGCAATCTGACCTGGAGAGGGGGTGACATCTGTTACCGTGGCCGTGAATTTTTTCCAGTGCAATGTTGTGGACACAGTGTACCTGCTTTGGTGTGCAAGGAAGAGCGCGTTCCTTCTCAGCTGCTTCACATGAACTCCCCGCTCCTCTTGTTCAGAGCTAGCGGGTCTTCAAGGCCAGGCATCCTGGGCACCCCGCTTGCCCAGTGCCGTGTGAAGAAGGCCTGGACTCCTGTGGTGCCCACACACTGCCATGGCTCCCTAGTGTGCCCTGGTGCTGCCAATCCCTCACCACGCCCAGGACCCCTGAGGCCAAGAGATCCACTGCCCTGTGCCACATGGGTGTTGCGGGGAACCCGGTTTGAAGGGTGCTAATGGAGTGCCGGGCATGGAGCCCTCTGGCCCTCGTCCCTTCCCCCCGGGGGACCCTCTGCCTGCCCCACCTGCTGGGTCTTGCCTCTGGGACACCTAGCAGAGGCCCTGCAGTGACAAGGGTAGAAAATTAACAGGGCCTGGAAATGTTTACAACAGCCAGGAAATGGCCAGGCCACCCGCCAGGAAAGAAAGTGGGGCACCAGATCCAGGTCATACATGTGTTATACGTGACTATATTGTCTTGCCATGGGAAGTCACCATGTTGACTTGGTCCAACACGGTGGTCGCTAGCCACTGTGGCCATGTACATTTAATTAAAATTGCATGTGGTTAGAAACTGGCGTCCTCGGCCAGCTGGTCACATCTCAAGGACTCAGTTGCCACATGCAGCCAGGGACTGCCACGCGGGACAGCAAGCGGCAGAGTCCTCAGAGCGGGGGACGAGTTCTGAGCACGGTGCTGGTCTGTCCCTGGCCGCGTGTGGCTCCAGCTCAGTCCAGAGGCGGCCCTGCTGTTCTCCCTTCTTACAAGGCTTGGCCTGAGCAGTTTAGAAAAGAGTGTGATGTCAATAAAAAGCCAGTGGGAGTGTTAGACCCTGTCAGTCACCCTAACTCCAGAGATGGTTGCTGCGGGTAGGTGTGGCTGAGCCTTGCCTAGCTCCTCTCTTTCATGTGGTCCCAAGCGTCCCGAAGCACTTGGGTGATTGGCTGGGTCTACAAGTCCCTGGTCTTTAAATAGGCTCTGGGCTTTAGCTCAGGGAGAGGCATCTTGGATTTACATAAGCACACATAGTATAGTTTCTGCTACAGCTTCAGTTTATGTCCCCTGGGGAGGCGCCTAGAAGCAGGGTGTGGGGGGAGGCAGGGCCGGGCCAGCTCTGCTGACCGTGAGGGGTGCGTGCAGCAGGGTGAATTTAGCAGGGTGCAGAGGTGGGGCGAGGCTGCCTTGGGTGCGGGGAGCTGTGAGCATGTCACAGGCAGAGGAAGAGGGGCAGGATGGAAAATACTTGGCTTCACGCCATCTCTCTGAAGCAGGACCAAGGAGGCAGCGGGCCCTTCACCTCTCCGTGACCCCTTCTTCAGCGCTCTCCCGTGTCCGGTGTTGGTAGACAGGGCACAGCATGGGGATGCTTCCTGCCCGTGGCCAGCCTGGCGTCTGGGAGCACTCTGGGTCAGGCTTGCTTTAATACTCCTGGCCTCCCTTGGCCCTCTGTCCCCCGAAAGGGAGAGCTGTTCCCTGCTTTGCTGTTCCTTTCAGCCCCACGGTACAGTCTTTCTGGCGAGTCTCCGGCCTGTGTCGCTCTAAGGGGCCTTTGGATGTGGGCAGTCCCAGGGCAGTGTGGCTTGCTGAGCCCTCTTCCTCTGGCGTCATTTACGTAGCCAGGGAGTGAGCAGGAGGGTGGGGAAACATGGACTGCAGTGAGGACGTTCAAGGGAAAAAACCCTACGAAGTCAGAAGGCTTCGACTTCAGTGATGGGCTGGCGGGCTGTTCTTGCCCTGCAGGACTTTGGTGTCGTTCTGAGCACGGCAGTGCCCTGGGCTGCCAAGGAGACTGCCGTAAAAGGCGGCACTTACTTACTGGGTGCAGCAGGCCTGTGCTTATCAGGAAAACCACCCCAAATCAGACTCTGCCTCATAGGTAGGCTGGGGAGTCAGTTCACTCACGGCAAAGCGTGTAGCCAAGGGAGGTGGCAGAGCAGGGTCAGAGACGCCCTGTGCCCTCTGCTCTGGACAGCGGCCTTTCCCATCTTCTCCCCCTTCCCGTCTTTCTCTACTCCATTTTGCTGCTTACGTTCGGCTTGGGGAGTCTTGCCTTTGTGTCTTTCCGTTGGGTTTGCTTAGGTCCTTGCCCCTGAGCGTGGACCTCCTGGTCCTGCAGCGAGAACGCTGTTGTCGGAGGTGGCATTCACCCACAGGCACGATGTGTCGAAGGGAGAGAAGCTGAAGACCGCTCTCAGACGGCTGTGTTTTAGAATCTCCTGGGTATCACTTAAAACTCCGAATGTCCGGGTCCCACTGATACTAACGTAGAATGTCTAGGGATACGAACCAGGCTGCAGTTGGTCGTCAGAGACACCCAGGTGATCTTAGCAAGCAGCGAAAGTTGGAAAACTCTTGTAAGGCAGAGGGATCATGCTCTGGCACAGTGAGCAGTACACCTGTGCGCAGTCACGGTGCCTCTGTCCTGCATCTCCAAGGCACCAGAAAGAGTATCACATGCAAATCAGTCCCTGACACCTACCATCCCGGTGTCCATGGCAGCCCATTTACCTACTGTGGGCCTCAGTCTCCTCCTCTGTAAAAGGGGTCAATAGTAGTAATACTTGTCTTACAGGGCCATCTTCTTAACCAAAAAGATGTGTGCAAGTCTTTGGGGTTGTGCAGTACTGTAGAAATGCTTGTTGTTACTGCTGGGAATTATTCTCTTATAGATAGATGTTCCTCTCCTAGGTGGCTTGCAAGGTAGTTGGGGTGACTGTCACGGCATTCATCCTTTCCTCGCTAGTGACAAACCTGACAATTCTGCAGGACACTTACTTCTCCTGTTTGGTAAAAGAGAGGGGCCAAGAGAGGTGGTCTGACCAGCTTTAAAGAGAAGCCAGCAGCCGGAGCCCCAGAACTCTACTGGCTCCAGCACCCGGGGAACGGTCCCTGGCTCCTTGGTAACTGGTTACCTCTGAGAACACAGGGCCTTGCCGAGGAGGCAGGGGCATCAGTAAACCATTGTGCCTGAGCCCCGCTCCCTCTGCAGTCTGCTTCACTGGACTTCGCTGATGTCAGAGTGCACGAAACAAGACAGTTGCCCAGAACATCCTGCCAAGCCCCTGGGGAAGGGCAAGGAGACCCTGTCTTGCAGGACCCGCTTTTCATTTGGTGCGTGTGACTGGTGTCCCGTGCAGTGAGTGTCACCGTAGCTCTCCGGGCACACACCAAGCGTTTTCCTCTGGCTTGTCCTCAGGGACTTGAAGCTGGATGGAGGGAGACAATCGGCAGGCGCCATGAGCTTGAAAGAGATCATTGGCCTGGAAGGTGTGGAGCTGGGAGCTGACGGGAAGGTAAGGCGCCAGGGTCTTGATCCCTGAGTTCACACGGCCACCGCCGCGGTCAGGAAGCAGAGGCAGCGAGACCAACCTCGGGCCTCCCTTGTGAAGAGGGAAGTAAGCGCTGGGGCGCGTTGCCGGGTGTGTGCTGCCAGCCCACCCAGCTCCGCCGGGGTGCGGGTGAAACCTACCCAGCTCCGCCGGACGTGGTGGGGGACTCCCAGGGCAGCTACACCTGTGCGCAGTCACGGTGCCTCTGGCCTGCTCCGCAGCACGGTGGGGGACTCCCAGGGCAGGCGTCCGTCTCTCTGATACCACCGACTGTGCACCTCTTTGAAGTGCTCGACACACTCATGCACATCCGTACTCACCCCCATGCATGCGCCAAATGCAGCGTTAGTTTGGACATCAGATAACTGGGGGTGTCGGTGAGACATATTCCTGCTGCTAGAACAGCGTTTGGCTTCTTGTGGTCCCAAGGAGCCTGCAGTCCCTCAGCCTTCCACAGTGACCACCAAGCAGCAAGGCCGCCACGTTCCTGCGCATGCACCATGCAGTCAGCTGCTGGGTTGGCGTCTGAGGAGTGGAAATTAAGAGACGCACTTGAGCCCATGGCTGGTTGCAGGCAGTCACCACCAACCCGCAGAGCTTGTCTCTGGGGAAACTGGCCCAGCATAGGCTGCTAGGGCGGCGAGTGACTTTCACCCTCCTGCCCCGTGGGCGGCTGGTCACTTCTGGGCCCGTGCGGCAGCACCCCGGAGCTCAAGGAAGGCACTTGTTCCATCTTTCTCCCAGAGGCTAGATGCTCACCTAGAACGAGGCGGGGGGAGTCGAGCATCGGGAGGAATCAGTGCCCACAGCTCTTGTCGGACACTCGCGGCCTGATGCGTCCTGGAATTCTGCGTTTGGTGGTTCATAAACAGCAATACAGTGTATGTCTCGCATATGACGCAACACCCCAGCAAATTCTGAGGTCAGGCCTTGTCCTCCGTGCTAATAATATTTGTGCCACCTAACAGAAGAGTTAGAACTCCCCCTCAGTCTGTTCAGGTGCGGTTTTGGCACAGGTGTGGCACGAGCGAGGGCCAAAACGTGTTTCATGTTTCAGATCGTACTGGATTTAATTGTACATTTTAAAAAGCAGACGCGAACTTGGGGTGGCAACATCCCTTGGTCAAAATGCAACTCAGCATGGTCTAAAAGTAATCACTGGTTTGTTTTTTATCTTCACCTTTTTAGACGGTTTCCTATACGCAGTTTCTGTTACCCACAAATGCCTTCGGAGCCCGGAGAAATACCATAGACTCCACCTCCTCCTTCTCCCAGTTCCACAACCTGAGCCACCGCAGCCTGTCCATCGGCCGCGCCAGCAGCACCCAGGGCAGCCTGGACACAGGTGACCCCGCCGGTGGGAGGTGCCTGGCTCTGTAGCGCAGATTGGGTCTCCTTGGGGAAAGCTCGGTCTCAGGACGTGTAGGTTCAAACCGGGTCACGGGTGATTGCTGTCTGTTAGATGCCTCAGTTGCCAAGCCCGGAGGCTCCTGCCAAGGCCGCCTGCACCAGGCAGAGGCGGCTGGATCCCCCAGCTCTTCCCTCACCATTCACACGGTTGTGTCCCACGTGGTGACACTTCAGCTTTGGCTCCCCTCCCCTCAAACAATCGGGCCGTGAAGCATAGAATGAGGGTGAGAATTTCCTTTGTGGTTACCATGGTGGGTGAGCTGAGTGGCCACTGAAGGGACATTTGCAGACTCCGGCTTTGCCCACCCAGACCTTTGACAGAATTGGCACAAGGGCAGAAATTGAAAGGCGGGGCTCCAACGTGCGATCCTCCTGCCTCAGCCTTGCAGAGTGTTGAGATTACATGTGTCGCCATGCCTGCCTTACTTTACCATCTTTGTAAGAATTGGTACGAAGGGAAAAACTCTAGGAGGCAGCATTATTTCCACTGTCAGAAAGAATTCCTAGGGAATGTGAACTTCTGACGTCGCCCCGGCCTCTGTGTGACGTCCCAGCCACCTGTGGCCCTTCCCAGCTGTGTGCACAGGTGGCTGCTGTGGTTTGAGGTGAGCCACGCGCAAGTCATGCTGGGTGCGTTCGCCCAAGTCACATGCGTCTGCCATACAGTTGGCGTGCAAGTCTAGAAAAGGAGCCTCGCGGGGCCACATCCTGTGACGTGCGAACTCTGCCTCGTATCCGGGGGAAGGTTGTGCTGTCCCATGTCGGGGAGACTAGTATGTAATTGAGTAAAATGGGAAAAGTGTCAGAATGGACAGAGAATTTGCCGACTCCTTTGCGTGAATGGTGGGACTGCTCCTCATCTACTCGCGGGACATCTGCTACGGGTCAGAACCCCCCAGCACACGTCCCAAACTGTATACCCCGAAGCCAGTGGGACTTTAGCAACTGTGCCTGGCATTCTGCCAGCTGCCTCTGCCTCAGAGGGCCCTGGCCCCTAACTGTCGTTTTTATGTCATCATCAGGTAGTGACCTGGGAGAGTTCATGGACTACGACCCGAATCTCCTGGACGACCCCCAGTGGCCTTGCGGCAAGCACAAGCGAGTTCTGATTTTTCCTTCCTACATGGTGAGTAGCGGCAGGGGTGGGGCCTTCGCTGTCCCTTAGGGATTACCGGAATCCGGGGTTCTGGGGGTGGAGCGGCCTGCAGACGCCACCCTTAGGGTGTGAAAACTCCCAGCTCAGGCCGGGACCTCACCTCTGAGGGGGGTGTCCCAGTTCACGGACCCACAGACCCCGCGGGCAGCCCCGGCCCACGTCGAGGAGCACCGTGTCCAAGTCCAGCCCTGTTTGGGTCTCCACGTGCACCAGAGCAACTATTGGCCCTGGGCTGGGGAAGGCAGAATTATCTCTGGGGAAAGTGACAGCAGGACAGTGTGGGTGCTGAGTGCAAACACTTTCCTTGCTATTTTTATTTCATGGGCTCTTCCTGTTTCTCCCCGTGTGTAACTTTGGTTTCCGCTTTGGGCTGATCACCCTTCCCACCGGTAAGACGTGATTGGGAGTGTGCAGGGTGGTACAGCCGTAGATTCACCCCCCAAGAGCTGCCACTCCTCCCGACACCAGGGTGGGGGCCCTGCCAGGGTCCATGTCCTGCCTTTGGGCAGACAGACGTGTCCTGTTTCCTGCCAGGCAGAGCGCTGGCTACAGCAGCGGAGAGGGGAGGACCAGGCTGGAAGGGAAACCCTGCGCCATCAGCCCGGAAAGCCACCTCTCCCTCCCTTCTGTGTCCTGGCAGAGCTGGGTGTCCCGCCGGGTTCCCTCTTGAGCCGGGAAGTCCCTGCTGTGGTCCTGATTATAGAACCCAGAGTGCAAGCCAACCCCACCTACTCACAGGTCCTGGAGCCCCGCTCGGAGTGTAACTGCATTCTGAGAAACCCTGGCGGTGCTCCGGCCCTTCTGGTGACCTTCTGCATCTGTCCTCTTGTAATCTGGCCTAGTTCAGAGCTCACTGTGATTCGCCACATTGAGTCAGAATGAATTCCCAGAGGAGCTTATTACAAAATGAGCCCTGCTCCTCACTCTCCCGCACTAACCCCTCAGCTCGTAACACACAAAGAACTAAACCATGGCCACAGGGAGCTGCCTCCTTCCCCTCTGACCTGTTCATTTGAAAAGAAGGGCTCATCTGTCTTCCTCAGACGCGAATACCTAGTAAGTGCTCAATAAACGAGCAGACCCATCCCCCTGCTGCTCAGGAGGGCGCACCTGAGAGGTTTGCCCTTGCACAAGAATAAGGATTCTTTCTACAGTTCACTGCGTTGCTTATTAAAGTACACTTTATGAATCAACTTGGGCAGGAAACTGGCTCGAAGTCTGAGTGAGGCTCTCCCAGCTGACAGGCAGGAAATGGGGGCTGAGACCACAGCTCCCGCTGGCTGTGTCTGACCGCCTGACCCGAGGGCAGGACGTGAGCATGGTTCCTTGGACCAGCAGGTTCCCAGCTGTCTGGGTAACCAAGAGACTTCGACAGTGCACTGTTCTGGCTGATGGTGGGGTTTGGAGGGAGTTCCTAGGGACAGGTCACATTTGGGGACAATACTGGCCTCTCCTTTTATAAGCCTGGTGTGAGGTGGGTGCCAGATCCAACTGCTGGTTTTTCTTTCTTTAAGTGATGTCACAGTGAGAGCTTTAAGGTCCTGGGCCAGAGCGTATGCGTGCGTGCACGTGGACGCTCACACTCAGATAATTTTCCTCCATGGCCTTGTGCTACCTGGCTTGCCAAGTCAGCATACCTGTGCTGCCCTCCTTCTTTCGTGGGTCACTTTTCATTTCCTCACGCTGGGCCTGCCATCTGGGCTTCCTGGAAAGGCCCATGTGCTAGACAGTGCGAGAGCTCGTGTGAGCTGCATCTCCCCGGTCACTCTGTGAGGCCCCATCTCCTCCTGTTCTGGCCACAGGTGCTGGTACTCTGAGCGGAGGCAGGGACAACTTCTGGGCACTATCATCTAAGCTCCTGACAGTCTGTGTGTGCCACGGAGAGCCTCGGCCCAGTTCCCTAGAGAGAGAGGCGGGCATGGCTGCAGGGCTTTTTCTTGGGCATTTGTTCTGATCTCAGAGGAACACGAGTGTGGGTGTTTTTGTGTTTGCCTTATGTTTGTGTGTTCGTGCATATAGAATTTGCACATTCAGCACGTTTGGTTGAGGTCCCACTGTGTGCCCTGCGGGGCCCTGCTCCTGGATCTGAGTGAGCAGGGAGGTCAGACATCAACAGCAGATACATCACTGTGGCCACGCAGAAAGAACTGTTGTGGAAGAGTGACAGGCGGTGACGGGAGGATGCAGGGTGGGTTCTTCACTCGGGGAGACCCTGACATGTCAAGGCTGAGTCGGTGTGAAACAGCCCTTCCCTCTGCACACACGCAGGCCCAGAGCGGAGCTCCTGGCTCAGGAAGCTGCACAGGTAATGGACCCGGGACTCCCAAAGTCATCAAGTAGCAGCAAGGGCTTGAGGGTCCCTGGAGCTGCACCAGAGGTGCCTGCAGTGTGTTCGGCTACTGGGTTGGTGTGTGGAGCTCCCTTTCTGCCGTCTGGGACAGGGCCCACACGCTGACGTCAGGCCTGTGCGGCCAGCTCGGGCTTACTCCGCCCAGCGCTTCCGGCAGCCACCTTTGCCTGCCGGTGAGAAGAGACTCTGGAGACCACTTGGCCTCCGGGGCTGCTGTGCTCTCCCAGTCTCCTCCGCCCCCAGGGCAGTCCCCGAGCTGTTGCCCAGTGTCTGCGGTTCTTGTCCTGCTTGCACAGATTCCGTCTCTGCCGAGTGAGGCAGCCCTCAGAGCGATGAGCTAACCCTTCCGTCTGTCAAACTTGGTGTAACTTATCCACAGTGACGCACCCATTGAAGGGCACAGTCTGTGGATTCTCTGAGTGCCCCTGCAGTCACATGTAGGGTGTCTGTGTCCCCCTCCCACTCCGCCCAGCCCCTCCTCGCTGTGGCGGCTCACTTCTGACCCCATATTTAGCTTTACCCATTCTGGAGCTTTGTACACATGAAGTCTTAGGGTGTGCACTATTTGGTGGGGGGCTGATCTCCACACACCTTATTATCTGTGGGACTCACCTATGTGCGTGTATTGGTATTTTCTTTTTATTGCTCGGTGGTGTTGGAGCCACAATCTCTCCAGTCTCCTGTTGACGGGCATGTAGGGTTCCCATGCAGGGACATTAGGAACACTGCTCTAACTTGTCCAAGTCTTTTTATGGGGCGCCTGTTTCATTTTTCTTGGGTAAATTACTCAGGGGCAGATTGGAGCCAGATGGTATTAGCCATCCAGGGTGTCGTGGGATGTGTACTTCCCTCGGTATTTGTTCTAAGAGTGATGTGAAAGGCTCGTCGCCACGGAGGACATGCCTCAGGGTGGAGGGCTTCGAGGCCTGGCATCTGCAGCCTGGAAGCGGCAACCATAGAAAGCGGCCCTGCACTGCTAGTCACATTTGTAGTTCGAGACTTGGATCCGTGCCTGTCACTGCTGTTATTGTCCACTGTGAGAGGGTGAGGGTGAGAGCTGGACTTGAAAAAGACGATCCCTGGGGGCAGGCGTGGAGAGCAGATCGCAGCTGGCCTGGGCTCCGGCCTTTTGGGGCTCCAGAAGAGGCTGCGGTCCTGCTCGTGTCTTTAGCGCCTGCTGTGTGCAGGTTCTTGCAGGGCCTCAGGCCAGGGGCCGGGCAGTGGGAGCCGTGAGTCACCAGCGGATGCTCCCAGCCCGTGTAATTAGAGCCTCGCTGGAGACGGGCTGTTTATCAAGGAGCCTGGCGGCTCACGTCGTCCGTAGTGGTTTGCCTTGTCTCCCTCTCCCCTTATGGGTGTGGAGAACAATTAGAGGAGAAAGCAAGGGAGAGCCGAGGTAATGCCAACAGAGCCAACCCTTTTGACTGGACCCTTTTGTTTCGAGGGAAGAGCTCCCTCTCTGAGCTCAGAGGGAGGTCTGGGGAGGAGCGCCTGTGTGTAGCAGTAGGGTCACCACACGGCCGGGTGGTCACTGTGACGCAGCACCTCGAGTCCAGGTCCCCATCCTGCCCCGCAGGCCCCGGCACGTGTGTGGGCCTCGCTCTTCCAACCGGGGTTTTCAGCAGTGAGCTGCTGAGCAGAGGCAGCTGACTTTTGGGTGTCTCCGTTGGTTTGTTTTCATGAGAGGTTGTGTCGAGGGCTCCAGGGGTTCCCTGCCTTCGGGGTGGCCTATGCCAAGCCCTTTCATTGCAAGCTCCCTTCCGGTCCCAGGTTTACCCTGCCTGAAGCTTATTTCCTTGGGGGTCATGGGCCATTTTAAGGCCAGTGATAGCAGGTGATAAAAACATGGCCAGGACCAGGAAGGCTCTGTGGGAACCTGGGCGGTGGTGGCTGAGGCCCACCTTAGCTATTGTGTTGAATTAAGAGGCCTCAAGCTGGGCGTGGTGGAGCACACCTGTGGTCTAAGTACTCGGGAGGCCGAGGCAGGAGGATGGTTGCAAGTTCGAAGCCAGCCTGGGCTAACACAGTAAGACCCTGTCTCCAAAACCATAAGAAAAGAAAAGAGCTTCAAATACCTTACTGTGCTGTCCTGGAAGCAGCAGGGGATGGGGTATTTCTGTTTCTTTGTGGGGTTTGGAAACTGTGTTATTAGAGACAGTGTGCGTACCCATACAGCTCACCAGTTTACATTCATAAAGTTACACGGCCCTGACCACAACCAATTTCAGAACATTTTCATCATCCTCAAAACAAGCCCCTCCCCCTTTAGCTATCCCCGAACCCTGTACTGCCCCAGGCCTTGGTGTCCTCTCTGGATGTGTCTGTTCCCATCAGTGGAGCTGTACAGGATGTGCCTTTGTGTCTGGCTTGTGTCACGTAGCCTTACATTTCGAGGCTCATCCGTGTTGGAACATGTATCGGGGTTGTGGTTTCTAATCATTTTCTTCCTGTAAAAAGTCCCAACATGTACTGCAGCATCTGTTCCCTTTCTGTGCATTCTTGTGGGAGGGCGGTGATCGGTTTGTGACTGATCTTGAGACACGATCTATCCCAGGCTGGCTTTGAACTCACAGCGTCTCCTGCCTCAGACTTCTGAGGGCTGCGATTACAGGCACACACC